TTGTAACTCTGAGTCTATAAGCAGAGATTTGCAAGCATTACAGCTATTAAGGAGGTGATGGGGCTCGGAGGAGGCTTCCTGGAGGAGAAGCAGGTGTCTGAACTGGGATGTAAAGAGTGGATAGGAATGGACCAGATGGACTAGGGTATTGGCAGGTGTTATAAAGTACAGGAGGGAAAGTGTGCCCTGCAGAAGGAATGGGTTGCCCCAAGGCCCTGAGTACGCGTGAAACAACTAGGGCTGCTCACCAGAAATGTTATCAGTTCAGCATTTTTGGAGACTGAGCACAAAGTGTGAAGAGAGTAGTAAAACAGAGAGGTAAGAAGTAGGGGACAGGTCAACATGATAGGAATGAAATTGTATGTGATTTTATTGTACTGATGAAAAACTGGGGGCCCCTGCCCCGCTCACCTCTCCATGCGTATGCCACTCCTTGCTCTCCTTGTTTACTATGTGCTCCCCAGACTGATGTTCTTTCAGTTCCTCAAACGTGACAAGCTTCATCTCACCCTTTAGACAAACTACTCCTTTTCCACTATGCTTTCCCTCCTCCTAACACACTGAACTCATTTGTAGTTGTAGATGAGTAGAGTCCCTTAAAAGAGTCACCCTGGAAAGCCATATACTTATTTATTGATATTATTCTTGTGTAAAGCATTTTGGGACTTACCTTTAGCACTCATTTGTGAGGCATATCAGAAAACCCATTTTGTCATCTCAGACTTCATTTTGGGGCCTAAAGTGCCAATAATACTGAGAGTTACGCCCTACTAGCCTTTGGACATTTGTCTGTTTCCAGAAACCAAATCCATCTCTAACTATTGAGTATCTTCTCAGGAATGAAACATAGGCTCTGACGGTGATTGAAAAGTGAGTCCTAGAAATGTTTTCGGCAAAAGCATTATACCATTGGGATAAGTGAATACTCTTCTAATGTGGTTCATTTGAAAGTTTGCATGTGCTTAGTAGAAAAGAAACCTTATTATCATAAAATCACATCTGGTGGACTCATTGGTGAGATGACTTAAAAGACCTATTTTTACAAAAATTTATGGTAAGTAAAACCAAAGTACTTGCTCTTGACACCCACCCCCCAAAAAAAACAGCTATGCTAATGAGATCTGAGCTTGACTGTAGAACCCAGTGAGTTTATAATTGAATCACTCAGATTACCATATGTTGATCTCACTGATTACAAAAAAAATATGGGTAATTGTTTTTTAGCCACTTGGTCACTGAAGACAAGTCAAAATAAGATAACGTATATAGTACTTGAGGGAATAACCCTTTTGAACCCTGTGGAGGGTGTCTCAGTTCCAACTTGTGCTACTTTCTACTAATAGATAAAAAATAAAACAGAGAACTCCTGAGAAAATTAAACAGTATCATTTTGCCTGCAACTGGGTAACTACAAATGTTAATAATTGAAATAAATCAATATAAACAGAAGACATTTTCATATTTTATTAGTTTTATATAGGTGATGGAAACAACAAAAATCAAAACAGTGGTACAGCAAATTATTCAAAAGGTATATTCATCAAGCAATTATTCAAAAGCTATATTCATCAAGCAACATTACTGAAACAAAGTGAACATGATTTAATTTTTTCAAACTAATTTCAGTATCTGAAACATGGAACTATTAGCAGAAGAACTTTTGTTCCAGGATTTCGTCTCCTGTATGGTTCATATTTCCCCTAAATTTGGCAATAAGAACTTATACACTGTGGACTCTTAGTGAAAACTGATGAATAAGAGGTTATGGTTTAAGCTCTTAGGCTAAAGTGAAATACTTTTCCAGAAAAATATTCCAGGAGGGAAGACATTTGTATCTAAGGTCATCTAATTATCAATTGATAATGCGAAGCCTCAAAATTAACAGTCCTTTTAATTTCAATTCTAGCAAGTATCTAATTGAAACTTAGCAAGCTCACTGATTTTATAATTTTCATTGGCAGCAAACTCCACATATTAACTAGACTCATAAACACACACACATTTCTTTTTTCTCTTTAAAAATCATCTACCTATTAACTTTATCAAATTCTCTAAACTTTTATTATTTGGGTGAGTAATCAATATTACTTGGGGAAATAACCTCTCCATGAGATTTATCTGGTGGTTCTTTCTTAGTGCCCTGTTTCGGAGAGCTAAGAAGCAGTGGACTGCAGTTTTCATTAAATCTCTCAAAGAATTGGTTCAAGTGCCTAGCTCTGGTTCATCATCTGTGGACCATATGATGGGGGGGTCCTTTGAAGAAAGTGCATGTGGATAGTTTGATAAAATGTAACAAACGATGTAGATTCTTTTTCTCTTCCTTCATGTCAATGGAGATTGTTTATTTCTTCCTATCTATCTATCTACCTACCTACCTACCTAGCTCCTCACAGCGTTTTCTGTACATGGGCATAGTCAAGTGGCCATCTTAGAGGTGTACAAAGAACATTTGTGTGGGATACAGGTGATTCAGTCTTAATTTTTGGTCAACTACCAAATTGCTATAGTTCACAAAATAATTCATTTAATTTCTTTGAGTGTTAGTTTCTTTACTAGTTAAATTTGTTTTAACTGCTCTATGGATTATTTGTTATCAAAAGTCCTATAAGGGATATAAGCATAGCTTGATTATTATTACTGCTTCTGTGTTTAAGATCCCTTGAATAAAAAATTCAGATCATAAATTCTCATTAAGATAACTGAGTAAAATATTTTCAAAATATAGGTTATAGGTCCTGTATAGGTCTAAATACAATGACTGTAGTTAGAATTGTATTACAAGCACTTTTCCCTGGCACTTCATTCATATAACTAAAAGAAAACATTAGACATTTTCAATAAACAAAACTAGGAATATAAATTTTATCATTGTTATGATTCTTTAAAATAGGTTTAAAAATTTGATGCACTTGAATCTGAAAGGCTCTTGTTGAACTAATCAAACAACCTTCTGAGAAAGGATTTCTTGGCAGGAGTAATAATTTTCCCAGAACCCTTTTTGTGGAGGGATTTCAGTGGAGGCTTTTTTAAGGGTAGAACTCTTTTGGGGGTTTGCAGTGCTCTTGCTATCTCCACATGCTCGTTGCAATAATATTTGTTGCTTCCTTCTGACAGATGGATGAGTGTGCTTTCTGCCAGATCCATACACTGGGCATGGACCCAATGCCCATCTCCATGAGAGCAGTAAATCATGGCAGGTTTGTTGAGCTCAGTTGAATAAAATGGTACCCAAGTGTTGATATCCACATCACAGGTAGGGCAGCATGTAATCCAATAGCCCGTTTCAGACTCATCTTCCTCATCATCTTCATTATAGGTGTCAAATTCATCATCACCATCAAAACTATTTGCTTCTGCACTGAAACAAAATTCTTCTGAGTCTTCAAAGGGAGTGGAGTCCCCTGGGTCTTCTGTTGATGTCTGACTATTTGTGAATGTTTTCTGATCTTCATTCACATCGTCTTCAGCACATTTCAACGTATAGAAATAGAATGCTTCTGAAACAACCTGTTTATTGTCTCCTGGTATGCCGAGGAAAATAGTTCCATTTCCCATGTTGCTTCCAAACCATATCTTGCTGTGCTTAATATCTGGGGTCCAATCTGGGGTTTCCATCTCACGAATTTCCATCTTGTTGTCCTCAAAAGAGATGATGTTGCAGACCATTCTTTTTTGATTTTCAAGCTGATAGCCACCAATGATGACAAATTCATCATTGCTTATTTGAGTCAGGATTGCACTGGAGACAGAGATTCCTCCTGGCATGACTGTGCAATTCACAGCTGGGCTACCCAGAGGGAGATCAACCCTTATTCTGTATAGGTTGGCAGGGCGGATGTTATTGGCAAGTGAATGGCCTCCTAAAATATAAATGGTATCATTTCTGGCAATGGAGACGTGAAAAGATAGCCCATCCTGAAGTTCTGGAAGAATGTATGATGTAGAGCACCCAAATTCAAAATCCACCAAGAAAACATGGGGCAGGCAGTCAGCTACACTGTTCCATTTTTCTGTGGTTCTTTGGGCGGAAGGTATGTATGACCGTCCTCCAAAGAGAACACCCACACTTTTTCCGCGACTATACACCACATCAATGGAATGACCATACCTGCCTTCAGGAACATCTCCTACCAAGTCTTTCTCTGTGCAGCGAAAAGTAACTTTTTTGTTGTTCTTGCAAACAACAGACATGATATAGATCTTATCTGAAAGCTCATTGTTTGGTGTTTTCCCTCCATGGATGATGTACTGATGCTTTTCAGACTCTAAGTTGCCTTTGAATGTGCAAGTGGCTGGGTAACGAAGAGGAGGAAGGTAACAGGAGTCCTTAGAGAAAACTGCAGGCTTCAGTTTGAGATGGTTATGCTTTATATCAAAATGGAAAACTCCAGTGGGGCAGGACCTTTTGGGCCAGCCTTTTTGGCCAAAGAAGAAAACTTGCCCATCAAAATTCATTAATGAGAAGCCTGGTTGAATTAAGGCTATGTTATTACCGACTGTTACCATTTGTAGTGACATATTTTCTGATCGTGGATAGATCTTTTACCTGAAAGAATTACAAAATTTTTTTGCCTTACTACATCCCTTCATATAAAATCACTGTGTTTAGATCCCCTCACACGTAAGATGCATTTTAAGAAAAGAGCTGTCCCACAAGCTCGTAGTGGCCTGAATTCGCAAAATAGCAAAAATTCAGGCAGCTAGGTAAGCAAAGAGAAACAGAACCTTCCAGCTTAAGACCATTCAAGAAGCTGGGACCCGTTTTAGACATGGACTAGAGTCCCTTAGACTTCTGGGAATTGTAGTCCTTTTCCCTTAAAGATTCGCCGCTTGCCAGCAGAAAGAACTACATTTCCCAGAAATCCATTCTCTATGGGATGCGTGGCTACGATAGTTTGTCTCTGTGGCTCCGCGAGAGGAGTCTGTCTGAATAAAGACGCCAAAAATGCGAAGTGACTAGATGGGAGCCAAGACGTAAAACAAGGCAAGAAGAGGTGAGAATGGCTGACGCAGACCCAACATCTAGGTTACGGGAAAGCTGCGGCACCGGGAGCGGCGTCAGGCTACCCCCGCCCGGGTGTTGTTGGAGCGTCTCCTGGGGACTCTTATTAACAGGTGACCCAGTAGGAAGCAGGGCTCCTTGTGGCTAGAGCGGGGTTGCCTGGAAACCGCAGCCCGAAGAGACTCCCGGCCCAGGTGTCCTCACGGACTTCTTTGGAGCTCGAGTCAAAATTGCACCCCCGGGCTTCCCTGGTGGCGCAGTGGTTGAGAGTCCGCCTGCC